GGGGGGCAAATGGTGACATCTGGAATGCAATGTTGATGGACTCGAGGCTTGAATCTGCAAAAAAGGAACCCCAAGACGGATGGATTTTCGAGGTGCGAAAGCCCAGATGGATATCACCCTGACCCCTTCCACCCTAAGAAAATGCTCGGGAAACGGGTCCTGAGGTTTTTCGCGGTTTGGGGGGTTCCCGGGGCCCTCGACGGGCCCCGGGGTTGTGAGAGAACAACTCGGGGTGAAGATCTCGTCTTGGGGGAAGGCCCACGGGTCCAGGACCCGTTTCTCTCAGGACCCGCTTGCACCATATTGAGCACAAATCAGGGCGGGAGGGGTTCGCCGTTTTCGGCCTCCTCGTCCAGGCAGCCCGAGACCCCCAAAACGGCCCAACAGGGCCCCAAGATGGCCCGAAGAGAGACCCATGACGGCCAAAGATGGCCCCATGAAGGCCCCGAAACACTCCGAATCGTGACCGGGTCGTTCAGGGAGACCGCAGACGGAAGCAACTCATCAGGGTGGCCCGAGGAAGCCCCCAGAGGACCCCAGAAAGCGCCCAGAAGGCCTCCAGAAGGCCCCAAGAAACCCTGCAAAACTTTCGTGATGCCCCACGAAGCTCGCTTAGAAGGAGCCTCCGCAAAAACAGCAGGGGAGCATGGGGAAAACATTGCAGGGGAGGGCGATAATGAAGAAGAGGAAGAAGAAACATGTCGGATTGATAACGAATTGCAGTATCATGACAACGATGCCAGACAAGGTAACAAGAAGTTATCGTTATCTGCTATGAGTTACTCTCCTGACCGTCCGCCGCGATTTCCGCCTGCATGCCAAACTTCAAGGACCAAGGTGCATGGCACGAAGCGCCAATGCAGTCTTGTGAATATGCATGTGTATATATATACATATATATATATATGTGTATATATACGCACTAGAACAACGCGCGCTTCGTGCGCGCATAGGTTCTAATCGTGGCCGTGGACCTCGGAGTGCAGGGACTTGGCGAGGGGCGCAGTGGCGAGCGCGAAGACCCAAAATCTGACCCAACCAGACCTGTCCACAGAGCTTGTCTGGGAGAGCCACGTGGAAGACTGCTGCGGCACTCCGACAACGGGCGTCGCCGCCGTCGTGAAGACCAAATCTGACCCAACCAGACCTGTCCACAAAGCTTGTTTGGGAGAGCCACGTGGAAAACTGCTGCGGAGCTCCGACAACGGGCGTCGCCGTCGTCGTCGTGGAAGTCGCCGTCGTCGTTCTTCTTCGTCTCCGTCGTCGATCGTCAGTCGTCGTCGTTGTCGTCGTCGTCGTGTTTCGGCCGTGTCGTCGGCGTCGTCCCTCGTCCTCGCCGTCGTCCTTCGTTGTCGTTGTTCCCGTGCGAGGCGCGTCTTGGAAGGCTGTTGGGGGCCTCTTGAGGTCTCTTGGGGGCTCTTGAGGGCATGTTGGCGCGGAAGAACGGACTCTCCGTTTGGCCTGCCCCTCTTGGAGCCGTCTTGGGCGTCTCCTCGGCCTTCTTGGGCGCCTTCAGGGCCGTCTTGAAGCCCTCTTGGGCCGCCTGTGGCCTCTCTTGCGGGATCTCGTGGGCCGTTGGACGGCTGTCTCGGGGGCATTTTCGGCCGTCTCAGAAGGAGACAAATCGTACATGTTGGAATTGCACGTTTTCCCATCGGAATTTGACGAGGCTCCTCTCCCGTAGCCTTCCCTTAGCGGCCGTCTAGCATGCGAGGCGCGTCCTGGGGAGCTCTTTGGGGCCTCTCGGGGGCCCCTGGGAGCTTGTTGGGAGTTCTTGAGGGCATCTTGGGGCGGAAGGTTCGAATTGTTCGTTTGGCCTCCCCCTCTTGGAGCCGTTTTGGGGCTCTCCTGGATCGTTTTGGACGCCTCCTGGTCCGTCTTGGAGACCTCTTGGTCCACCCGTCGGCTCTTTGTCAGGTCTTTTGAGCCGTGTGGAGGCAG